ATAAAAAAAAAATTCGTATTTCTTAGTATTTTGTTGCAAACTTTATAATTCACGCTTGGTTAGGAAGTTATTTTATGATATGAGAATAAAATGCATGGGAAATCTTCTTTATCATACGTCGTAAATTTTGATCAAACGAGTACTTCTATATCGACGTGCGCTATGTTCGCTATTTCCATTCACAGAGGGCTTTGTAGTATATAAATAAGCATTTTCCCCGCTTTATTTAAATAGTTTTTATTCATTACGCTTTTTTTCTTTCTTTCGATTATGATTGCAATTACAATTCTTAATAAACACTTTAACATTACTCTGCGTAAAAAGATATTATAATTACATTCGTTCATTGTTCAAATCAGATCGCCAGTCAGAAATTTGAAGGGACATCTAAGTATGTCTAAGTATGTCCATTTTCACACGTAGAATAGGAAGGTAAATCGATCATTTTGCCGTATAATAATTTGTCTTCACAAAAGGCATTTTTGTGACAATCGCTTTGTACGTTTTCCCTCGAACTTCGACCAATATTCCACCACCATAGTGAGCCAATTCTGGTGGTACATATCCCATAGCGATAGAACGTCCAAGAGTTGGACTAGGACCACCTGAAGTAATTTTGCCAACACGTTCACCTTCTGGAGTTAATATACACGCTCCTTCTCTAACCGGTGGACCATGCACGACAGTCAATCCTATCCTTTTCTTCATAGTTCCTGTTTTGATCTGTGAGAGTATCCTCTTTGCACCTGGGAAGTTTGCTTCTTCTCTTCTTCTTTTGGCTATGGCAAAATAAAAGAATATAGTGGAGAAGTGAATTGTTTGCTGATAAAGAAGATACCAGACTGCGGATGTTTGTGCATTTATAAGAAATTTGAAGATGGAGAAATGCATAGATAATGCTTGTAAGAAATGTATGAAAGTACAATAGAGAAACATTGAAAAATATTATTAAAATTATTTAAAAAATATAAAGAAACAAGTTAATTTATGCTTTTACTAAAATTACAAATTACTCTTTGAGTAAATGATTTTTTACGCATCCATAGGACCGTTGAGAATGTGACAATCATTCTTGAAACACATATTTGAAAATTCGAAAGTCTGTCCGACTTTTTCTTCGGTTCTATTAGCTCATTCAGAATTTATATCTATGAAAATCTTTCTAAACTTACGTCTTTTTATAAGGTTGCATTTTTTTTATCCAGTTTACATTAATCCCTTAAATGTTTACATGAACTCTAATTAGGTCTTCATCCCGTATATAAAATAAATAAATAAAAAAATGAATTCGCACAAGTATCCGCAATTTATTCATTACCGACCAATTAGCCAAGTGAGTCCAGCTTCGACTGGTGTGGTTCCATCATCGATATCGTGTCCGTAGAGGCAAAGACCAGCTTCTAGTCTAAAATTAATGGAGTCAAATTAAATCGTATTATAACAATAGATTTTTAGTAGTATAATATAAATATTAGTAATAATATTTCAGTGATATTCGTTGAGCGACGAAAACGAAAAGGCAGCTTTAGAAACAGATTTGTAACTTGAATACCTCAAACTATCCCTAGCTCCCAAACCAGCTAGTTTCGTGTCAGGCGTGTCTAAGACCGCTTGTACCAATGTACGCGCAATTTTCGCTGGCATCGATATTTCGAAGCCGTCCTCTCCCGTATATCCGCATCTAGTTACTCTGATTGGATTTCCAAATACTGTAGTTTCCACACTGTTCATAAATGACAGATGTGTCAGGTTGATTTTCATGATGGATCGAAGGACCGACGCAGCTGTAGGACCTTGTAACGCAACGAGGCTTTGCTCCAAAGGATCTAGGAATTGCAATTTCACCGATTTCCCACGATGTTTGAAGTTTCCCTTCAAATTGAGAATACCCGAGTAATGAAATTATTATATTATTTTCGTATATAGAATAAATTCCCTGTTGTCTACCTGTTGTTGGAGCAGCAACTCGCAGTCTTCGTCTCTCCTTCCAGCATTAGACACAACAAAGTATTTGTCATCGTCGTCTTTTGTAATTATCAGGTCGTCGAGGATCCCTCCGTTCTCGTTGGTGAATACCGTGAGAACCGCGCTGCCTCTGTTCAAATTCTTCAGATCACTGGTGGTCAGAGATTCCAGGAACTCGGTTGCGTCTTCTCCAGAAACTTGCGTTTGCAACATATGACCGACATCGAACAGCGATGCAAAAGTTCTCGTGTGTTGATGAGACGCGGCTATTGCCTCTTGATATTGTACCGGTAGCAACCAGCCGGAGAAGTTGATTATTTTACCTAGAGAAACACACAGTCGCTTAGGTTCTCAT